GACCAAGAGCTCTCCCAAGGAGATGTCAGTAGCTCCAAAGAAATCTCCAACTGGGATGAGTGCAGCGAGCAGGAGCTGTCCCAGGGAGAAGCCCTTAGCTACCAAGAATTTTCCGAGTGGGAAGAATACCTGGAGCAAGGGYTGTCYCAAGRAGAAGTYAGCAGCTCGCCAGAACTGTCTGCCTGGGAGGACTCCACTGGCCAAGAGTTTTCTGAAGAGGAAGGCTCCGTTGGTCAGGAGCTGTCCCAAGGCAGTGGGAGCAGACCCTCTGTGTGGCACTGTCGGGAATGTGACAGGTACCAAGAGCTTGGGCAGGGTGATTGGCAGCACGTCCACAGCATCGGGGTCAAGGCCTTGCCAGAGGAGGAGGGGGACGTGTGGGACAAGCTGAACATGTTTTGGCTCAGTGAAGAAAGTGTCAGGGAGGAAAGGCTGGGAGTTTTTGAAGAAGACGAGCTCCCAGTGCCTGTCCCTCGAGAGGCCTGGGTTGAGTGTGGGGTATCTGAGCTGTGCTGCCAAGTGCCGCTCTGGGCCTCACTCCCACCTGGCAGCCCCAGGACTCCTCAGAGGACACGTGGCTTCTCCCGCTGTCGAGGAGCAGATGGCAGAGGCAGGGACAGAGCACCCAGTGCCTGCCTCGCACAGCTCCTTTCTGTGCTTTTCCCAGCGGGGAGCCCAGACCCTGAGGAAGCAGCCAATTTTCCCCAAGAAACGTTCATCCTGCTTCAGGCTCTGCACTGCCTGATCTGCTGCCCCTGCCTGAGGGCACAGCCGGACAAGCAGCACCCGCTGCCAGCACCAGGCTGGACCCTGCAGGTGGCGGCTGGCCCAGAGCCTGCCCGGCATCCTGAGGGAGCCACAGGGGCAGCCTTTGATGTCCAGGTGTCAGGGACATCAATTCCTTGTCGGGACAATGGCCTGGCTGAGGCTTGGGGCTTGAGAGGCACCAGGGCTGTCAGAGCTAAGGTGCACAAAACTGGGGGAGAAGGAGCTCCTGCTCAGAGGGGACACCAAGGATGCAGAAGRGACAGGCCACCAGGACATCTGGCAGAACTTCCCAGAAAGTAGGAAACTCATAAAGCCAACTCAGGAACTGTGCTGAAATCTTTCTSACTGGGAAAAAGGTACTTCTGGCCCAGGGAGACAGTGATCACTGACTCCCAGCCYGGTGACCTCAGAAACCCAGTGAGAAAAAAAGGAAACTCTTCAAAAGAAGAGACAGACTGAGCATAGAGAAAGAATAGTTAGCATAAGAAGCAAGGGAACCTTCTAACCTATAGAAGAAAAATATTAAGACACTAATATTAAGATATCAAGTTATTGCAAGTTAATATTATTAATAAGAGAAAATAGTAATTCAAATACAAATACTGCATTCTATTAAATCTTTATTTTGCCCATAAATAATAAATATTTAAAAAGAAAAAATATATTTTAAATATWAAAGGTAGTATATTATATAAAGGTAGTATTTATGATCAAAAGCATTAGGAATTACATATAGTATCACTGTAGTATCTAAATATTAAAATATGATAGTATAAAAATAATTCAAAAGCAGAAATAATATGAGATTAATAAGAAAACTATATAATTGGTAGCCAATGCAAATGAATGCCTTTGTTTGCAAAAATGTATAGATAGTGAAAAGTTTTGATACTTGCTGTGCTGGCTTTCTATCTCTCTATCTTCCCTTTCTTGGTAAATAGAATCCCTGTYAAATAAAATCCATACGTTGCCCTCACATGGTCTCTTTTGCACCCTCATTCCTGCAGAAGCATCTCTCCCTCATGGGATTGTAACACCTGCACAGGGTCCCTTCCAGGGACCCACCTGCACAGGGTGAGCATTCTGGGATTCTGTCAGCTCCTTGCTTCCCTTTCCTTCTTGCCTCTCCTTTGAGCTGGGAATGTGTTTGAAAATGCCCAGCAAAGGAGCCTTTGCCRTCTGCTCTGGGAGCCCACACGGCTTYGGGACCTTGTCACCTACAAGTCTCGCTGTCACCCCAGAACACCTCTCTGGGCCCACTCTCCCTAAGGAAAGTTCTCCTTTTGGCCCATCCTTGGCAGTGCTCTTCCCATCCCACTCTGCCTGTTCCGGATTGAGGGGCAGAGCCTTTGTGACACAGGCATGAGGTG